GGGTCATCGAAAAAGAGGAAGACTACCAACAAGATGATGATGGGCTCAATTGTAACAATGATTTTTGAGGATGCCACAGGCCCAGGCAGTGTTTTGTTCTGTTATGCATAGGGTCACTATGAGTCGGAACAGACTGACTACCTAACAACAACAACAACATCATCAACATCAAGAATATTGTGTGGTTTGTTTTTATTTTTCAATAAATTAAAAAGAATTTTACTAAAAATGAAAACATTTTAAAACTTTATGCCATGATCCATTTTGGTTCTATGTGGTATATCATGACCAGGATTGTTTTATTTGCTTATTTATTTTTAAATAATTAATTAGAGCTTTAAAATATCAATACTATGTATCTTAGTTATATTGTGTTTCTGTAACTGAAATAACACAAGTTGGTGTCTTTAATGAACAGAAATTTGTTTTCTCATAGTTAAGAGGCTGAAACTCTGAATTCAAGTCGCCAGTTCTAGGAGAAGGCTTTCTCTTTCTGTTGACTCTGTAGGAAGGCCCTTGTCTCCTAGCGGCACAGCATCTCTCTTCCTCCATCTATGCACACTTCCTTGATTGTTTAATCTCATATCTCACAAGAGACTGATTTAAGACACACCCAAAGCTGATTCTTCTCACTAAAAACTATTCCCAAATGTGATTATAAGCACTGGTATGGTTTGTGTTGTTGCTAAGTTCCATCAAGTATGTTCCGCCTCATAGTAGCCCTGTATAGGGTTTCTGAGGAGCAGCTGGTGAGTTTGAACCACTGACCTTTTGGTTCAAAACAACCTAGCAGTCCTGTGCTTATCCTACAGCACCACACTGGGACTCCAAGCACTAGTGGGAGTTAGGATTTACAACACCTATTTTGTGTGGTTATAACTCAATACATAACAATATGATTCATACAGTAAATACAAATAATGTTCTGTGAAATTTTTATTTATTTGTGTGTGTGTACCTGAAGTCCTCATGTAGTGCTGTAGGATAAACACATGACTGCTAACTTCCAGGTTGGTGATTCAAACCCTTGAAAACCATATGAGTACTTCTACTCTGTAAACATGGGGTTGCTGAGTGAGAATTGATAACAAGCAACAGCTATTCTTGTTTATAAATTTAAGTCATCAGAGAAATGTGTCTCTTTATTGGCAGTAATTTTTTTTTTTTTGCATAGAAAGGTGAGTCAAAATTAGTGCTGCAAAATCATAGAAACATTTATTAAACAAAAATGTGGTGTTACCATCTCTCTAACTCTTCCCCAAAGAATTCTTGTGTTCTTTAATTTATATCACATCAAAATGGCAATGTTGCCATCCTTGAGGGACTCAGTCATGCCCTTTCAATGTTCTTTTGAGTTTGGGGGACAAAAAGCGGTCTAAAGGGGAAAGATCCGGGCTGTAGGATAGGGTATAGCTTCCCAATGACATTCTCATGGGACAACCCTTGCCACCCTTAATGCAAGAGCCAAATCCACTGTAATCGAGTCATTCCAACTCATTGTTGTTAGGTGCCATCAAGTCATTTCCAATCCCTAGTAACCCTATGTACAACAGAACAAAACACCGCCCGTCCTGTGACATGCTCACAACTGCTGCTTTGCTTGAGCCCACTGCTGCTGCCACTGTGTCAATCTATCTTGTTGGGGGTCTTCTTTTTTGCTGACCATCCACCTTACCCTCATTACATCTTTCTCCAGGGACTGGTCCCTCTTCATAATATGTCTGAAGTATGAGAGATGAAGTCTGGTTGTATTTCTCCCAACACAAATTTATTTGTTCTTTTGGCAGTCCATAGTACTTGTAATATTCTCCTCCAGCACCATAATTCAAATGCATCAATTCTTCTATAGTCTTCCTTATTCATTGTCCAACTTTCACATGCATTTGAGATGAAATGAGAGGAATATACCATGGCTTGGGTCAGGTGCATCTTAGTCATCAAACTGACATTTTTGCTCTTGAACACTCTAAAGAGATCTTGTGCAGCAGACTTGCGTAATGCAGCACATTGTTTGATTTCTTGACTGTTGACTCCATGAGTGTTGATGGCGAATCCATGCAAAACGAAGTGTTTGACAACTTCCATCTTTTCTCCATTTATCTTGATATTATTTATTGGTCGAGTGGTGAGGCTTTTTGTTGTTGTTTTTTTCACATTGAGGTGTAAGTTGTAAGCCCTATACAGGGCTTCCAAAGCTGTAAATCTTTGTTGCTGCTAAGTCTTGTTGAGAGTTGGTTCCAAGTCATAATGACCCTGTTTTAAGTTTCTGAGGAGTGACATATGGTTAACAGTCCAGTACTTATCCTACAGCGCTACATGAGGAGTCTTTACTGAAGGAGAAAGTCTCATCCTTCTCCTGAGGAGTGGCTGGTGGGTTTGAATGTCGACCTTGGGTCAGCAGGCCAGTGCTTATCCTATAGCACACCACCAGGACTCTTTTGATGAAAGAGCAGATGCATTGTAAAGGAAACAGAAAAGCCTCAGTGCAACTTTCCTGATCTTTCTCACCAATGCAGTTTTCAATTTCCTTACGACTTCTTCCTATGTCCTGTGATCATCCTATGTCCTTTGAGAAAATCTATCAAAATTAACCCTTTGGAATTCTGGAAGTGTCATCATAACCTTCTGAGATGATCTCTCAACCTTGATTTCATCTTAGATCTTCCTACCTTCCTTAAAACCCTTGGTCGGCATTCCTATAATTTTTTTGTAAAGCTTCAATGATTTTGGAAGATATCCATTTGAGCTTTGTTTAAAAAAAATTATATCAGCCCTGACCTCACAATCATTTTTAATCCATCGCTCAGAAAGTACCCTTTTGTTTTTGAAGGAACCCTATAAACAGGAACCTTCATATCAATACTTTTTGACATACCCTCATACAATTACCCACACTCCCTACTCAAGGAGCTTCAAAGAGCTTGCAAATGTTATCCATGTTTTAAAGTACCAGAATTAATATTGACTTCACTTTAGTGTCTTTGAGTCAAGACCACTCCACTAGATGACTTTGATTATTTTGCCTTAGTGTTTAGATCCTTGGGAACATACATTTTTCAATAAGATTTAAAAGATAGATAATAATGGTGCTAATTTTAAATAGAGTTTACTAAGCTGCCAGCTTTATGTTCTTTATCCATGAACTCATTTGACCCTTATATTAACCTAGAAAGATAGGCAGTGTTGGTTTTGCAATTCCTATTTTACAAGGGAGGAGACTGAGACTCAAACCGTGAAGCCTGAAGAGGGAGTTCCTGAAAGGTCAGGTCTCAATCCCAGATCTTTCATAGAAATCCAGCATCGATCTCTCCCCACACTTCACTTTACCTGATTGGAAGGATTCTGCCTTTCGTTCCCAAGTACATTTCTGTCATTCTTTTTTATTTTTTTAATCTTCTTTACTTTCCCTTCCTCCTTCATTTTGTTTCCCTTTCCCCATGATTCATCTTGTCTTGTGACTGCTAGGACCCAAAGTACTTGTTTACTTCTATTCAACTAAAAACTTACTGTAAGTTGAGTATCTCACCATTCAAATGGTATCGTCAAGCTCATTCATTTGAGCTAATTTACTCAGGATGTTCTTTCAATAAAATGTTTCATTGTTGTTGTTTATTTTTCATTTTCCTTTCCATTGTCATTCTTAGGTGCTGTCAACCCTATAAACAACAGAACAAAACACTGCTGGGTCTTGTGTTATCTTTATAATTGTTGTTTGAGCTCATTGTTGCAGCCATGTGTCAATCCATTTTATTGAGGGCATTCTTCTTTTACACTGACCCTCTACTCTACCAAGCATGATGTTCTTTTCCAGGGACTAGTACCTTCTGATAGCATGTTCAAAATACATGAGATGAAGTCTTGCCAACCTTGCTTCTAAGAAGCATTCTGGTGGTACATCTTCCAGTAAGGCGTCAAGTGATACTGGATTACTTATATCAGTATTTGTTAATCCTTATTGTTAATCAGGCATTCTGTGTTCTCTTTTCATGATACAGTGACTAGTTTTGGTTATAAACACCTACAGTGACTGCCTCTTGTTAGCATTTCTGCATTCTCACATTTTCTTTTCTGCAAATTATTCCTTAGATCTCAGGATTTCCAGAGGAAAAGATCAACAGGAATTTACCAAGAATAGATTCTTTTTTCCTAACAGTTAGGCCTCAAATGGCCACAGACTTGGCCATTCAGACTCCAGAGATGCAGGAGGGACTTCTCAACGTGATGATAAGGGAGGAAGAAAAGGACCAGGCCTGCAGTCAAGAATCTGGGCTGTCAAGAAATAATAACCCCCATACCAGAGAGATCTTTCGTAGACGCTTCAGGCAGTTCTGCTATCAGGAGACACCAGGGCCCCGAGATGCTCTTCAAAGACTCCAGGAGCTCTGCCATCAGTGGCTGCGGCCTGAGATACACACCAAGGAGCAGATCCTGGAGCTGCTAGTGCTGGAGCAGTTCCTGACCATCCTGCCCCAGGAGCTCCAGGCCTGGGTGAGAGAACATCGTCCTGTGAGTGGAGAGGAGGCGGTGACTGTGCTGGAGGATTTGGAGAGAGAGCTGGATGAGCCAGGAGAGCAGGTGGGAAGATGGACAAATAGTAGTTTGTACCAATAGGAGCAAGTATGGGGTGTCAGTACAACAAGAGAAGGAAGATTTTTTTATGTCCGACTTGATCTGCTGTAGACTGTAAATCTGTTTGCTTTTCTTTTTCTTTCTTTTCTTATATAATGACTCTGAGAAGGCCTCCTTGCAGTGTCCTCTCTAATATCCTTATTTCCACCAGGTCTTAACCCATGTTAATGAACGGAAAGACTATGTGCTGGAGAAGGTAATTCTCGGAGCAGCCCAGGAGCCATCAGGTGATCAGCTCCAAATCTTGGAAAAGCAGCTTCGGTGTAACTTGCAAGAGGTGTGCCTGGTTCAGGAAACTGGTGAGGACTGGAATTTCATTAGGAAGAATATCTCACTCCCTGAATGCTCAGCAGTTCGACACATTTTTATTTCGTGTCTATCTAGGTCTATCGTTTAATACATGGAGTCCTGGTATGGTGCTGCAGGTTAATGTGCTGTACTGCAAGGTCGGTTTGAACCACAAGGTTGGTGGTTCAAGCTCACCAGCAGCTACTTGGAAACCCCATTCAGGGTTGCTATGGGTCAGAACCAACTCAACGCCACTTAACAACAACAACATAAAGTGTTATGGTTAAGCACTTGGCTGCTAACTGAAGCATCAGTAGTTCAAACCCACCTGCAGCTCTATGGGGGAAAAAACCTGGTGATCTGTTCCCATAAAGAATTCAGCCTAGGATACAGAGTAGGCAATGCTACTCTGTTATATAGGGTAACTTTGAGTCAAAATTGATTCTATGGCATCCTATAACAATAACCACATATGCCAAGCTGGAGTCCCTGGTTGGTGTAAATGGTTAAGTGCTTGAGTATTAACCAAAAGATTGACAGTTTGAACTCACCCAGAGGTTCCTTGGAAGAAAGGTCTGGCGATCTGCTTCTGAAAACTTTGAAAACCCCATAGACAAAGACTGGACTTATTGGTCTGAGAGTGACTAGTGGAACCCCTGAGACTGTGACCCTTAAACACCTTCAGAAAGCCAGAAGGGACAGGAAAGAAGGATGAATTGAAACAAGAAACCCAAAGAGGAAGGGAGAAAAGTGCTACTACATTGAGAGGATTTCAACCAGTGTCACAAAACAAAATGTGTATCAATTCTTAAACCCAAAACTAATATTCTTGGTAAAATTTCACCCAAACAGCAAATTACAAACAACAACATAACAAAAAACATGGACTAACACATGAGGTCACCATGAGTCAGAATTAACTCGATGACCATTGGTTTGTTTTTCATATACCAGGCACTGTGCTAGGTACTGGAGATACAGTGATGACCAATGGAAACATGGCTCCTGGCCTCATGGTGCTTACAGTCTAGTGGGAGAGACAGACAATTAAACAAGCAGTTTCAACAAAATATTTCTTATCCCTGAAATGAACAGAAGTCATATAGAATTGTTTTAAAGTAAAGAAAATAAACAGGAAAAAGTAGCTATTTGTCCTGTTTCATTCATTCCCCCAGCCTTTTTTTTTTTTTTTTTCTGTTTGTCTTTGGAAAGATAACATATTATCCATATATTTTTTTTCCAGATGGCAAGGTTGGGTCTTGGAATGTGGAGTTAGCCCCAGAGGGAGAGATATCTAAAGAAATGAAATGTCCTGAGGAAGTACCTGGAAAAGTAAATGGTTATATTCCTCAGGCCCCTGAATGTGGAGACACCTGTGACAATGAAGGCAGATTGGAAAGGCAGCGGATCAGCTCTTCAGTGGAGAGACCCTATGTCTGTGGTGAATGTGGGAAAAGCTTCACTCAGAATTCCATCCTTATCGAGCACCAGAGAACACACACAGGCGAGAAGCCCTATGAATGTGATGAGTGTGGACGGGCCTTCAGCCAGCGGTCGGGCCTGTTTCAGCATCAGAGACTCCACACGGGAGAGAAGCGCTACCAGTGCAGTGTTTGTGGCAAAGCCTTCAGCCAGAATGCTGGGCTTTTCCATCACCTCAGAATCCATACTGGGGAAAAGCCTTACCAGTGCAATCTGTGCAGTAAGAGTTTTAGTCGACGTTCTGTCCTCATTAAGCATCAGAGAATTCACACTGGAGAGAGACCTTATAAATGTGAAGAATGTGGCAAGAACTTCATTTACCACTGTAACCTCATCCAGCATAGGAAAGTCCATCCTGCAGCAGAATCCAAGTAAATCCTTGAACAGGTAGGCCAAAACTCCTGGTCTCAGACCACTAGGCAAGGCAGCAGGGCTATTGCTTCTTATTTGTCCCTAAAAGAACAAGAATACTTTAATCCTCTAGCTTAAAGAGCCCCAGGGAACATTAGTGAAAATGCTCTTATTCTTAATACTGAGAGAAGTATAATATCTTAAACAGATCTACCTAATTCTCTTTAGTCAGTGACACCCATAGCTTTGCCGTACTAATACTGTTCCTTGTTTCAACTACATCATAATATATACTTAATACTAGTCTCACACACACCGGTGTACAAAATTTTGTAGGTACTCTTCAGGGAAATTGTTGTTTATCCCAGTTTTTAAAAACTTTAAAAAATGTTAATTGTTAAAAACGATCTTCAGCCTAAGTACAAAATAACATCAAAGGCAGTTCACAGAGTATTGAAAAATTGATTTAAAAAGAGTTGTAGTATAATGTAAATTACCTGACTTCTCTTATCATAAAATATGGTTATATGCTTTTTAATCTATAAAAGGTGACAGATGAATCCTGCCATCTAAATGTTTCTCCCTATAGAGGTGTTTTTGTTTTTTTTTTGGAATTTATATTCACAATTATATTTTTATAAAATCCAGAAACAATGATTCATAAACAACTTTGGGATCACTTGTGATGTAAGCACTGAGGGAAAGAGTAAAGAAATAAATACACAAATCGGGGGAGGTAGAGGAATGGGAGAGGGAAGGATGTCATGCTAGCAGAATGTCATGATGCTAGGTTTGGGCTGTCTAATAAAGACTGGCCACATTCCGTGGGAGAAAAATGAGAGTGCTTCCTCACATAAAGATTTGCAATCTCTGAAACCATATGGTGCAGTTGTACTTTGTCCAAAAGGGTAACTCTGGCTTAGATTCCACTTGATGGCAGTGGGTGTTGGACTAGTCACAAAGTAGCCATTGAGATTAATAAAAATTACATAAAATTTAAAATTCAGTTTCTTGGACTCATTAGTCACATTTCAAGTGCTGAATAGCCACACATAGGTGGTGGTGGTTAGGTGCTGTTGAGTTGGTTCCAACTCATTGTGACCCTTTGCATAGTAAAATGAAATACTGCCTGGGCCTATACCATCTTCACAGTTGTTAACGCTTGAGCCCATTGTTGCTGCCACTGTGTCAGTCCATCTTGTTGGAGTCTTCCTCTTTTTCATTGATGCTCCACTGTACCAAGCCTGATGTCTTTCTCCCTATAGAGTTTTAATAACTCAACTTTTAGTCATGGGCCAAAGAATTGAAGCAACCATGTTATTAGCATCTCAGTGACTAGTTACAACAAACATTGTTCATGATATTAAATTTGTGAAGATATAAAGAAGGTTGGTTAAAAATCTGATATCTTTAGATGTTGATTATAAAAATATATCCCTTTTTACATTTTTCCTGTGATATATAATAAGCATTTTTTGGTTTTTTTTGTTCTTTATTTAACCTTTTGTTATGGACATTTTTAAAATATATTAAAATACAGAGAAAATAATATGTGTGATTGCTTTTTATAACTGCCACACTTGTCAGCATTTTCAATTGATTATCTCCAATTTACATACAAAAGTTTCTTCCACTGAACACTGGCTGACTGTTAAGAAAGCTTCATACTAGGCCCAAGAGATTTTTTAAAAAGAAAAAAGGAAGGCCTATGGAGAGAACAATCTTATTTGGAAGACCAGATATATAGTGAATAACTTTTGAAGAACTATAAAGAACTTTACAATTCTACATCCCCTTTTTGAATAAGGAAATAGATAAGGTGATAGAGGTTCTTGGAAGTAATTCTCCAAAATCTAACTAGTTAATGTTGTTAAGTGCTTGTCAAGTCAGTTCCGACCCACAGCAACCCCATATAGGGTTTCCAAGGAGCAGCTGGTGAGCTTGAACCACCGACCTTGAGGCTCAAGCCAACTTTGCAGTCCAGCACATTAATCAACAGCGCTACACAGAGGGTTGGAAATAGAACCCAGTACAATGCTCTTTGTACTAAGTCATTGGAAATATATCACCAAATAAAAATGTCAAGTACATAGGAGTACATGAAGTTTTACTCTGTTGGCTTGATAAGCCCTCCCATCTGTACGTTTCAGTAAATACAGAGCTGCTTTATTCACTTTGCAGTGAAGTTGAATTCCAGGAAAGACATGTAAAGACGTTCCCCTCCCATACCTTATTGCTTCTTTTATCCCTCTTTTGAGGTATTTTAGTTATTCTGTATTGATCATTTATTTTTAACTTTCAGGATTAAAATTTAATTTATTAAAGAGACTTTAAAAATACACATAATAGATTCTTCACATTGTTTGAAAATCAAAGCAATATAAAATAAGTCCTTATGTTTCCCTTACAGGCAACCATTTAGTTTCTTATGCATCTTTCAGTGCTTCTTTATGTAAATGAAGAAAATTAAAACATCTCATCGTATTTCCTCCATGACACAGATTATTTATAATCTATACCTTGCTCTTATCATGGACGGTTATATTTTATATTTTTCCAACAAGATAAAAGTCATCTGAAGTAAAAACCATTACAAATATGAAGCATGTTCTGTGTAAAATTTTTGAAATAAAAAATATACACCAGAATACTGTGCCACTGGCTAAATCTTGAGTGAGTAATTAAGAGAAAAGTAGAGGGAAATGGAGGGTAATGAGTAGTGTTTTAGGTGAGGGAACAGGATTATGGAATTCCAGCAAGGAAGAACAGGAGTGGGAAATAGAAGTGGGGGCCAGATTGATAAGGTCTTGAGTACTTTCCTAATACATTGAGTCTTTATTTGGTAAGCAGTATGGAATCATTGAAGGTATTTTGTTGTAAAGTCCTTATAAACATATTATCAGAGAATACTGACTTTAAAAAGAGACTTTTGCCATTTAGTTCATTCTATACCTAGATGAGAGTTCTGTAGGATAAACACTGCTACTCAGAAACCCAATACAGGGTCACTATGAATCTTTAAAGGAGCTCTGGTAGCATAGTGGTTACGAATTGGGCTGCGAACCACAAGGTGAGCAGTTCGAAACTACCAGCTGTTCCGTGGGAGAAAGATGAGGCTTTCTGATCCGGTAAAGATTTACAGCCTCAGAAACCCTGTACAGGGTCACTATGAGTCGGGACTGACTCCACGGCACATAACAACATGAGTCTTTAATGACACTTAACAACAACATACCTAGATTAGGAAAATGAATCCTTAAGTAGCTTAGTATTTGTCATGATCTACTTTAATCATATTACAATTTAAAAAACATAACCATGAACATAGATCTTTGTTGTATATACTTTCATAGAAACTTAGACTTGGAGAACTGAGACATCATTTTAGGTATCTGTAAACACCAACAACAAAATGGGATGGACCACCTCCCACCCCCAAGACTGAAACTCAGAGGAATCACATGAGCAGCCATGTAAGCTTGCTGGTGATCACACTGGTCTACTGTGGGTGGAAGTTGGGGAAAGGCAACAATGAAGATACTGGCTGAGTCCGACCATGTTCCAAAGACTCTGGTTGACCTGGAGATGAGAGAGAGGAGGAAGGGCTTGTTGGTCTGAAGTATGGTGAGACCTAGGGTCTTCTGAGCCCATGGACAAGGACATAGTCACAGAGGGCTAGAGCTGAGAGTGGAGCATCCTGCTGACATGAAATGAGGGGAGACACACAAGAACACCCAAACTTGCAGATAATATCCATTTGACCTAGCTTCAATGGCATGAAGATCAGAACTCAACTAAAAGAAGATAAAAATTTCTGATAAAGGAAACAAGTGTAAATTGCTACAATTCGATGAACTTGACCTATACTTATGGATGTAATAGCTCAAAATACCAACTGAGAGGGAAGGAGTCCTCATCCTACCCACTCTGTACACAGGAGTGATAGGGACAGGCAACTTAGACATTGGCTACCTAAAATGGGTAGGGGGGGAGGGGACAGGGCCTATAAAGGCATGAAGTGATTGACTTACAAGTTTTCAAGAGGGAGTTTAGTTTCAGAGTGTGCGGGGTTAGGTAGAATCCCCACTGAATAGTTTTCATCTTGTCTAGATGAGTCTGGTGAAAGGAGATGCGGATAAGATTGTTATGATTCAATAGTGAGTAATTGTTATCATGACTAATGGCAATTGTCACATCTGTAAAGGTAGAAGTTTTGTAACATAAAGCGGGGAGTAGTTAATCTTACGTTCCAGGAGCACAGGATCCTAGGACCATTAAGGGAGAAGAGCATGAGCAGAATGTGGAACCCTATCCAAAGAAGCAGCAACACCAGAGATAGAGGCAGAGATGAGGACATGGAGAAATAGAGCAGCTGAGGACTCTAGACTCAGAGATAGATTGCGTGCTGGCAGCCAGGAGGTAAGCTTGCAAAATGTGCCCTTTGGTTGTTTAAATTATTATATATTCCTGAGTGTTTTTGTATACTACCCTCCCCCCAATAAACAAAAGCAAAAACCTCAGAGGGTATGGAATCAAATACTGTTGAATAAAGATGCACAGAGAAGATTGTAATCATTGCAATGAAACAATGAGTATAAAACCAATGTTCTCCCATGTAAACGATCACTCAATTCACAATGAAAACTTTCTAAAAATGGGAATGGAAAATTAAAAGGAATCAGATAGAAGGCAAACTTGATGTCAAAACTCTGGTTAGGTCAACAAATGGTGACCAAAGAGAAGGAAAAATAAAAAGATCGTTACAAAGTGTTACCAAGAAACTTACTTCATCTTCACCATACAGATTTGAAGATTTCCCTGTTTCTTAATTGGACCAGATGTCTTAAGTATAACTTTCTTAAGCAGTGAAAATAGTCTCACTGTCCTTCATACCTTAACCATCTATGGAAAGGAGAATAAGGAGAAGAGCACAATCTATAAATCACTCTCTGTGTGTGTAAGTGTCTCTGGACCCGTTTTCCACACCAACTGCCTCAGCTTTATCATTGTGCAGTCACGAGAGCTCTGTTTCTTAATGGAT